AAATGTAAATTGATTAGCTTGCTTCACTGTTCTTCAGAGAACAATCTGGCAGACATGACCAAGCCATTGGGTGGAGTGCAACATCAGAAGAATATTAAGTTATTCGGTTTTATGTCTATTCCAGTCATGAAGGGAGGAGTGTCAGTGTATAAGGTTCATAAATTGGAATAGACATGGTAACAGGTCAACCAGTGGGGACTGTTTGGTGATCCAGACAGCTTGGAGCCTGGGTGTGGCTTAGGTTCACTGATCTGTATATATATGAGTGCCTCTGTAATATCTTGCTTCTTCTGTGTTTGTATTGCTTCTGTGATTATGACTTCTGGATTCTGAGTTCTGGTTCTGACTTGGGTATTGTATACATGCATCATACTGTATATTAAAAGTTTATTCTATAAATGAATCCTGCTGAATTATTTACTTGTGTGCTGGTTGGATTGCTGCAAATTCTGAGTGTCTTGGTTTGCCAGACCTCAGACTGTACTATGATGCCTGTTTTTGGTATGGTTAGAAGATTGGGTAACTTTGGAAAACTCAAAGTTGTTAAACCTTGAAGGTTCTGATCTGAGATTTGGGCAGCATGCCTATTTGTGGTATGATCCAGTAAGTGATCCTGGTTTCAAGAACCATGTCATTAGTCAATCGACTGGGTGTGTATGGTCAAAGTACAAAAGAAGATTAGCTGATAAGGTGCCGTTATGGTTATCATTACACAGAAACAACTGTTGAAGAGTGGACTTTAATATTGACTGAACTGGCAGAGATGGCAAAATGAACCGTATTGATTAGTGACAATGGATTGGATAAGTTTATAAGAGACTGGAAGCAGTTTGTGGACTTTCTGCATATTAAATACAATAACTGATGGTTATCAGAGGGCTTTGAAGATTAGTTTTACTTTTGGGGTTACCTGTTGACTGTTTTATGTGTGCGTGTCAACTCATAAAATATTTCGATGGTCGTTTTAGAGTTGCCAACAGAAAGGGAGGGGGGAAAGGGGCTTGAAAGAGCAGTGCAGCAGCTTGGAAATCGAAAGTGCATTCCATACATAGTTTTTAAGAGATAGTAACTAGGTGACTGAAGTTTCTGCTGCGCAAAAATCTAACTGGAGAACATGACTGATGACTCTTGGCTATGGATGTGTCTCATTGGAAAATATGAATTATGATACACCCAGGGGGGTATGGGAAAACCAGGGTCAAGGGTGACAAGGAATTGTGTGCCTCAGAGTCGGCTACACCCAGGCAGTGCCAGACATGTTAACTCCCAATAAATCCTTTTGAAGTTTTGGAAGTTTGGCTCAAGACTCATGATTTAATTGGGGTAATAGCCAGTATCCTGACTCTGTGTGTGTGTGTGTGTGCATGGCAGAGGTGGTATTCAGCAGGTTCTGACCAGTTCTGGAGAACCGGTAGCGGAAATTTTCAGTAGTTTGGAGAACCAGCAAATACCACCTGACTGGAGATTTTACAGTATCCTTCCCCTGCCACGCCTACCAAGCCACGCCCACAGAACCGGTAGTAAAAAAAAATTGAATCCCACCACTGGTGCACGCGTGCGCACGCACACACACACACACACAAACCGAACAAATGCTGGGTTGATTGGATAGATAAACAGATTTCCACATCAGGGATATATTTTTATGTAACATAGTATTTTTATTATAATATAGATGGGAATGTTTATAATCACTTGTAGACCTATTATGTAAAGGGAAAATGCATCAGGTTTTAATATATTTTTGAGCATTCAACCAGGGTGAACTTTTTTATGTTCAATGTCAGAGTGAATGATATATTCGTCATTTTGTTATTTTTTTTGTACACATTTTTTACTTTTATTATTAGTGTCTGGTGGTTTTTAGTTTTTAGTTTTTAGTTTTTTTCTTTTTTTAATTTTGTATTTTAACTTTAAATTTAAAATTTGTGGACTGAAGAGGTCCTTTGTGGTGTGCCACAGGACTCAATACTTTCTTCACTCCTTTTCATCTACATGAAGCTGCTGGGTGAGATCATCTGCCACCATGCGATGAGGTACCACCAGTATGCTGATGAGACTCAACTTTACATCTCCAGCCCGGGTGACCCAAGCGATGCTGTTGCTGCCCTCTTGCAGTGCCTGGAGGCTGTGGGAGTCTAGATGGGAGACAACAGACTTTGGCTGAACTCTGGTAAGACCAAGTGGCTTTGGGTGCATGGAGTTCCAGGTTCTGGGACTTTAACTTCTTAAGTTCTACCGCAGACAGAGATGGTGTGCAACTTGGAGGTTCTCCTGGACTCGCAACTCCTGCTCAATGAGCAGGTGACAGTCATGGCTAGGACAGCCTTTGTTCAACTTTGTTTTGTGTACCAGTTGTGCCCTTTCCTGGACAGGGAGTCCTTGCTCTCATCGTTGAAGCCCAGGTCATCTCAGAGTTGGACTATTGCAACATGGTCTACATGGGACTACCCTTGAAGATTGTCTGGAAGCTTCAGCTGGTACAGAACACAGGCACGCAAGCAGTTCTTGGGGCTCCGCGGATGGCCCATGTCACACCGCTGTTCCATAAGCTGCACTGGTTACCAGTTTGCTTCAGGGTTCAATTCAACATGTAATCATCTTTAAAGCCCTTCATGGTATGGGTTCAGGCTATCTGAGGAACTGTCCCAGCCCAATGGGATTGGCCTGCCCCACTTGCACCAGCAGAAGAGGCATGCTGTGGACACCATTGGTCAAGGAATTTCTGCTAGCGGAGTGCAGGAGAAGAGCTTTTTCTGCTGTGGAACCCACCTTCTGAAACACTGTGCCCCCCAAGGTGAGTTCCACACCCACCCTTACCCTAACCTTACCCTTACCTACCCTAACCCTAACACTTACCCTTCCAAAAGGGCTTGAAGACCTGCCTCTGCTAACTGGCTTGGGGCCCTAATGTGGGAGCTGCATCCTAGAAGTGTTTAATGGATTAAATCAGGCCTGTCAAACTGGTGGCCCATGGGCCAAATACATCACATGCAGGCCATGCCCACCCCAGCTCAGCAAAGGCAAAAAATGTTGTGATACATCACAATCTGGCCCATGACACAATCAAGTTTTATACCCGTGGATCAGATAGACCCCACCTCCTCCCCATGCACACTTTGTTCCCTTCCTCTCCGTCTTGGTCAATTGAATTTTAACTGAATTTTAAATTTATGGTCTTTACTTATTGTTTTAGATCAGGCGTGTCAAACTCAAGGCCTAGGGGCTGGATCTGGCTCGCAGGGTGCTTAGAACTGGCCCGCGGGGCCACCCTGGAAACAGGGAAGGACCGGACTGCAGTGTCTCTGCCAGTGAAAACGGAGTTCCATTTTCTCTGGCAGAGCACTCAGGCCACCACCCTGACTCAAGTTACATCAAGCTGGCCATGCCCACCCTGGCCATGCCCACCCCGGCCCCCTGAGGTCAAACACAACCCTGATGCCCTCAATGAATCTGTTTTAGATGGTCTTTTTTTAATGACTGTAAGCCAGTTAGTCGCCTCAATGAGATAGGTGGCATAAAAGTTTAATAAATAATAAAATATATTAAATAATACATTCATGACAAATCCCCCTTTGCTGTGCAACTGTACATATGAGGACACATAGATGAGCTGGATTGGACCTTGTGCAATTGTCACTTCAATAAGACAGGTTTATGCTTGAAACACACTAATAAAAAAAATAGCAGCTAATGTTTTATTTATTTATCTAATTTATATAGCCACCCATCTCACCAAAAGTGATTCTGTGTAGCATGATTGTTTAACAGAAATGGCAACCAGCTACTTGAATGCTATTGTACAGCAAAGACAAATGTAACTCAAATGAATAGAGATATTACATAAAGCACATTTTGCCTGCTGAAATGCCACCAATGAAGCAGTCAAGTAGATCTTCATTAGAAACATGTTTCATGATACTGGTATGTTAATAAGAAAATAAATAACTTTTTCCTTTCAAAATTTTACTAGAACTGTCAAAAGAATACAGAGCAAAGATCTTCCTCAGATCTCAGGAAGGGGAAGAATAGGAAGAATGGGAAGAAGACATTTCCTAAATATACTAGACAGAACACAGAGAAATCCATCTTTCAATTCCCATACAAAGTCATCTAATCAATCCATAGAACATAGAATCATAGGGCTGGAAAAGACCTCAGAAAACTTCTAGTCCAACCCCCTGCTCAAGGCAGGAATCTTATATATCAGGGGTCTCCAACCTTGGCAAATTTAAGACTTGTGGACTTCAACTCCCAGAGTTCCTCAGCCAGCTTTGCAGCTCTGCTGGTTGAGGAACCCTGGGAGTTGAATACCACAAGTCTTAAAAGTTGCCAAGGTTGGAGACCCCTGTTATATACCATCCCAGTCAAATGGTTGTCCAGTCTATTTTTGAAAAGCTCCAATGATGGAGCCCCCACAACTTCAATTTGTCCCTACTTCTAGGTTGGATCTCTTTAATAAGCTTCCACCTATTACTTCTCATCCTGCCCTCTGGGGCTTTGGAAAATAAGTCAAACCCCTCTTCTCTGTGACAACCCCTCAAGTACTGGAAGACAGTTATCATGTCCCCCCCCCACCTGTCTCTTCAATATCACTTAGACTTATATACAACTTCACAGTGCTTTACAGCCCTCTCTAAGTGGTTTACAGAGTCAGCCTATTGCCCCCAACAATCTGGGTCCCCATTTTACTGACCTCGGAAGGATGGAAGGCTGAGTCAACCTTGAGCCTGGTGAAATTCAAACTGCCAAACTGCAGGCAGCTGGCAGTCAGCAGAAGTAGCATTCCAACCACTGCGCCACTACAGCTCTAGACATACCTAGCTCCCTTCAACCATTCACCATATGATTTAGCCTCCAGACCCTTTATAGATGATGTTGCTCTTCTCTGCACACTTTCCAGGGTCTCAACATCTTTTTTGTTTCATGGTGACCAGAACTGGACACAGTATTCCAAGTGTGGTTTCACTATCCAATACAAAATAAATTCACATCATTACCTGTTGTTTAATAAGATGTTGGAACATTTGATATCGCGATGAAGAAAGTTTTTTTTGTGACAGTAGTCCAGTCCCTCCATCAACTGCTTCATGAACGATTTTATATGGTCCTCTGAGAAATGCACCAGCCCAGATTCTAGCAATCCCATGAGGTCATGATCCATATATTCGAATACAAGATAAAATGCACCTAACAGAAAATGAAAGAGAGAAAACACCAACACTTCTATGAAGAATAAAAGTATGAACATTTAGCACATCAAATGTCCTATGAATATTCTAAGGCAAAATATGCCATAAGTAGGAAAATGTAAGTGCCATAAATTTTGCTCTGTGTAAAAAGGAGGATTCAGGATTCTATCTCCCTTAGCATTCATTATCAAGACAGTTGTGTCTACATATCTCCTTGATTAGTTTCCATCCATTGTTTCTTGTTCTGCCTTCAGGTGCTTTGGATAATAGGTTGACCCCCTCTTCTTTGTGGCAGGCCCTCAAATATTGGAACACAGCTATCATGTCACCCCTAGTCCTTTCCTTTGTTAAACTAGACACACCCAATTCCTGCAACCATTCTTCGTATTTTTTTAGCCTCCAGTCCCCTAATCTTTGTTGCTCTTTTCTGCACTCTTTCCAGAGTCTCTACATCTTTTTTATATCATGGTGACCAAAACTGGATGCAGTATTCCAGGATATCTAAATTTCTCTTCCTAAGAATAGCAACATTCCTCCCCTTAACTTTTATTAAAGTTAAGCCTACATAGTATAGAACTCCTCTCAAAATTTCATAAAAGATCCTCAAGATGAATAGGAAACTTCTAACCCAGATGTTTCTTACAAGGTAAGCCTTTGACATTCTGGCAGTTTACTCAAAATTAAAATATACCTCCTCACAATACATTGGGTATGTTTTATGTACAAAGCATGTTCATTACAGCTAAGAAAGCCAGCTGATTTGAAGCACAAGCCATAATCCCAGAATTTATTCCTAAACAATCTTCTTTGACAATGACTACCTTTGTCTTTCTTAAAATCCAGTGCATCTTGTTTGTCGGTAACAATTTCCTTCATGTTGACAACACTCTGGTGAATCAACTGTCGAAGTATCTTGATTTCACGGATAGCTGTAATAGGGAAGCCTTCCTTTTCATTGTCCAGCCTTACTTTTTTCAAAGCTACCAATTCACCTGCCAAATATAGATCACAGGAAATTTTATATATATATATATATAAAATAAATTTTATTAAACATTTTTCAACAATTTAAAAACATATTTACATTTCCAACAACATTATGACATCGTCAACATTTCTGTTCATGTATCAACTACTATGTTACTTTTATGTCTATTGTCTAACCAAGTATGCCAGGCGTCCCAGACCAAGTACTATTCTGTTTTGTTTCTATCTTTTAACTCTAGAGTCAGCCTGTCCATCTCTGCGCAGTCCAGAATTTTTTTAATACTGTCCCCTCAGATGGTACAGTTTCCTGTTTCCAATACTGTGCATACACAATCCTGGCCGCTGTTATTATATGTAAAATAATATATACATCTGTCTTGGTATGGTCTCCCCTTAGTATTCCTAATAGAAACAATTCCAGTCTGAATTCAATTCCCCCTCCCCCTGGTTATTTCCTCTATCCACTTATGAATTCTACTCCAGTAGTTTTTAACTTCCAAGCATGTCCACCACATGTGGAAGAAAGTACCCTGTTTATTTTTGTATTTCCAGCAATTTGGCCTCCTGGTTGGGAACATCTTCGCCAATCTGGCAGGAGGTAAATACCATCTATAGAACATTTTGTATATGTTTTCTTTATATGCTGCTGATAATGTTAGTTTATAATTTTTCCCCAGATTTTTCCCAGTATTCTAATTCAAAATATTTTGCCCAAACTATCATTGTTTCTGTTGTGGTTCGCCAGCAGCAGGTGCAGACGGCAGAGGTCTCTGATAGCGAGGACTCAGACAAAGGGGCCTGCGTGTGATGCAGGGATGGGGCCAGGACTATCGGAGAGTCGGGTGCTGCCTTCGGAGCTTCTGGCAGCAGTGACGCAAAAGACCACAGGGAGCCTGTGCCCAGTGCGCGCGCGCGCAGGGCTGCTCGAAGGAAAGAGCAGCTGAAGCAGCAAGGGCGACTTGGGAGTAAGGCTGGAAGGTGATGGCCCCTCCCATAAGGGATAAATACCAGCCCTCAGGGATGTGTTCTTTGCAGGAAGCAAATAAGTTCTTTAGACTCAAGAGTCCTCATTGAAGCCCTGCTTACTCCGGTTTGTTTTTGAAACTTCTATCAGTGGATATTTAATCAGTAATTTGTCTTCTGTTCTTGGCAGCTTTTTGCAACATTGAAAGGGCTTGCTTTTGATATCGGACAATTAGGTTTAAATGTCTCTTGGCTAGGAATGCACTGAATTCCCAGCGCCGCATTAAAAAAGGTTTGCTTTTATACACAGTTTATATTTGTTTAATTTGAACAAGGCTTGGGTCAGAAGTTTCTTTTATAATTTCTTCTTCCGTTTTGTAATTCAAAAGTAGACTGTATATTTTAGATATCATTTTCTCTTCTGTTCCCTGAATTATTTTATCTAATTGTTGTTGGTCTTTATAGAATCCATATTCTTTCTTATATCTTGTCTGAATTTGCACATAGGACCACCAATCAATTTCTATGCCTTGTTTTAGTTCTTGTACTGTTTTCAACCTCTTGTGTGTCAATCAATTCTTTGTATTTTCTCATTTTGTTAAGGTGCATTGCATTGGGATATACCATCGCTTCCATTGTTGACAGCCAATTAGGTATTTTAGTATAGTGGTTTTTTAAAAATTTTTTCCCATACCTGGATTAATGTGTCTCTAATCTGATGCCTGTGGAAATAGGAGTGATTTTTGTTTTTCCCTTCCCATGAGAATCCATGCCACCCTCTTTGGAGATCATGTCCCTCTATTAGTAATATTCTCTTATTGTCCAAGTTAATCCACTCTCTTATCTATGTTATGGCCGCTGTAGATCACAGGAAATATAATAATGAAAGTAATAATGGGCAAAATAAACAAGAGAAATGAAAAATATGGTCTTCTTACGGATGTCCCTCTCTGTCAATTATCTGAGGGGACACTGTCAATACAGGTAGTCAACTTAGGACTGGTTGTTTAACAACCAAAGTTACAACATACTTTTAAAAAGTTACTTACGACTTGTCCTTGGAGTTGTGACCGCTGCACACAAACCTCATGGTCATGTGATATTTCTGGCACTTGGCAACCGGCTCATATTTACAACCTGTTACACCATCCTACAATCACACAACTGTTTTTCTGGCAAAAAAAATGCCCATTTGGAAGAATGGATTTGCTTAATGACCACATGATGTGCTTAATCATGGTGACCTGCATTACAACCATTGTAAAACAGTTGTAAAATTGAGTCTGGTGACGTGGTGCCTCAACGTATGATTATGACTTATGACCAAAATTCCAGTCCCAATTTATTATTTATTTTGTATCCCGCCTTTATTATTTTTACAAATAACTCAAGGCAGCAAACATATCCAACACACCTTCCTCTTCCTATTTTTCCCCACAACAATAACCCTGTCGGATGCGTTGGGCTGAGAGAGAGTGACTAGCCCTAAGTCATCCAGCTGGCTTTCATAGCTAAGGCAGGACTTGATCTCACAGTCTCCTGCTTTCTAGCCTGGTGCCTTAACCACTAGACCAAACTGGCTCTCTTATTTCTGTTCTGTCCTAGGCCTCACCCAAAAGCACTCAGTCAATTCTGTGTCCTGGCAAAAACCTCTTTATTTACAATAATGTGAATTAGTTCATTCGCAGTCAGCCAACGGCTTGGCATACATTCTCGCGAAGATGGACTAATTATCTCAGACTGTTATCAATCCTGGAACGCTGCCCGGTAAACATTTCCACACTCACTGTTGGCAGGGAAGGCTGGGTTTACAGACCAAGGTCCACAAGGCTGGAACAAACACATGACTGAACGAGCGAGTTGTTTCCTGCAAAAGCCACCTCCCCTTTTGCTCCTCTTTTAATCCTGATGGGAGGGGCCATTCATTGTCCACCTGTTTGACTTCCGGTTTGCAAGGCTTCGGCAGCGTCAGGAATCCGCGATCATGCGCGGTTCCTGCTGCGCTCACCGCTGGAGTGTCCCCAATCCAGCCGGATTTGGGGGCTAATAGTTACCCCGTAGAGGTAACTGAAGACAGGGGAGATCCAGCAGGGGTCCGGGGGAATCGCAACCCCCCTCCTCAGCTGGCTTAACTCCCTTCTCCAAAAGCGGTGGAGCGGCGGTCAGCAATGGCCGCCACAAAGAAGCTTTCATCCAGACAAGAATGTGCAGGAGGAAGCTGAGAAAGTGAAAGTTTTTGGCTGAACCGGGATAACAAGTAACATTTAAATACCCTGGAATTTTAATTTCATCAAAGATACATTGTTCCCAACGAAGATTGGAAAAAGCGGTGGATGAAAGTTAAATGGGAAAGTTTTTTTTTTCCTCACTCTCCTTCCTTACGGTGATAGCAGATGGAAATTGGAAAAACCCGTTTAGGCACCAGCAGGTAATTAAATTTGAAATTAAAGCCAAGGGGACATTAAAGATTTCTGAACATTGGAATTTAAAAAAGATTTTTTTTTGCTATAAGTGGGAAGGGAGAGGAAAAGAATTAATTTTAAGATTTTGCTGGAGGAGGCTGCTTGGAACTTATAAGAACAGAGTTAAATTGTAACAAGACTTCTAAAAGATATACTTTGGAACTTTGCAATTGAACTGTACCCCAGGAAGAGAAAGTATAAAAAGAAGAAAGTGCTAAATGAAACAGTTTGTCTCTATTTGGATTGCTTGGTGACTTTGGGACCTTTGGAAATTATTATTTGAAAGACTAAAAACATTTGGGTTGTTTAAAAATTTTTCACAATGGCATTACTTGTTGATGAACTGAAAATGCAAATTAAAAAGCTAAAAGAGGAACAAGAAGGGAAGGGCTCTTCTGGATCTGTTTTTCATTTTTTAGAAATGGCAATTTCTACCTATCAGAAATTACAAGAACAAGAAGGTTGGGATGAAGAAGAAGAAGCCATATTTAATGAACAAACAACTTTAGCTGGGGAAGAAAAGGGAAAGAAGGGGAAGAGAATGGAGAATTGCTCCTTTCTTTTAGCAGCTCTGCCCGTGTGCAGGCTGGGAACCGGTTCCAACTGCTCCCCAGCCTCACTGCTATCTGAGCCCGAAGGTAGATGATGACTGCCAGCATGCCCTGGCCCATCTCTGCCTCTGATGCAGATCCCTTGTCCGAGCCTTCTTCAACCTCCAAGACTGGCACAGGTTCCTCCTCAATCTCCTCACTACTGTCTGACTCTTCTGTCAGCTCCGCCAGCCGCTGGCGGGCCACAACAATTGTGGTTATAAATTAAGGACTACCCATACAATGAATAATTTTGATCAAGTAAACACTGGGTATATCAGAAGTATAAAAGCTTTCATATTTCAGAACTCTTCATTTCCATACTTGAAATTGATTCATTAACAGATACCATGTTTCTCCAACAATACGGCCCACCACAAAACAAAGACCCAGCACTGCTTTGTGCGTATGTAGTTAAATTAAGGCCTGCCCCCAAAATTTGGGCCTATTTAAGTGCATGCACTGCTTAAATTTCCCCACCATTTCTCACATCACTTGAAGTGCAGACAACACGAGGTGGAGGTGGCATGGGGGGGAAGGGCGGAGGGGAGGAAATCTTGTCGAACTCATCCCACGCAACTCACCTTTCTGTTGGATCGCACTCCCTTGCCTTGCTAATTCTTTTGATCCTTGCTTTCCCTGTCACAGTTATCGCTCATCCAAAGCCCCCCCCCCGCCACTTCCCCACCACCGTTTTCTTTTTCACACACAAGAAAAGCGAGCAAAAAAAAAGGGAGAAGGGGAGAGGCACTTTTGAACACGTCCAGGACTTTTCATGTTGTCATGATCAGCCCCTGCCATGGATGTGTGTGTGTGTGTGTGTGTGTGTGTGTGTGTAGGGGGGGGTGTTTCTTGCAGAGATTAGGGGAAAGAGGGAGTGGATTGGAAGAGATTTTCCCCATAAGAATGGGGAATGCAATGCTTGTAGAGTGTGATTTATCCAGGCTGCCCTCTCCTATTATCTCTGAAGCCTTTTGGGAAACCTTTGTATGGTGGATTTTTGACTTTTCCCAATTTGCTTGCTGGGGGTGGGGGCGTCAATTCTCCTCTAGCCTCTGCCTTTTCTCTTTGGCTCACAGCTTCCAGAGTTTTCCCAGTCTCCGAATATGTGCGTTCATGCATGCACACAAACACACACATTGGGGGGGGGGGTTTCCATCCAATGCAGTGTCTCTGTATTAATCAGTGTTATTCTGCTGTTATTCTCCTCGCTCTTACCGTAGAGTTGGAGCAACTTTTCTTTAGAGAAAGAGATGGGGGGGGGGTAGGATCCATTGGAATCACCCAGTCTTTGCAAACTTGAATCGGTTAGCTTTTCAGCGGCCCAACTTCAAAAATGGGAGGAGGGGGAGGAGAAAGGAGAATTAAAATACAACAAGGCATGCGGATTTTAAAGAAACAAACACTTGCTGTCTTGGGTGGCTTTCTGAGTTTTTTTTCCCCTGCAGCCAGGTGAAGAGCCATATGGGGCAGTGATGGGGACTTCCAGGTTCAGAAACTCTCGGTTAAGTAAGCTGCGCGAGCTGCTATTTCTTCTCCCCCCCACCCCGGCTCACATTTCACGTTGCCTTTGATCACAAAGCAGATCTTAATGATCAAACTCTGGAAGCTGTGAGCCAAAGAGAAAAGGCAGAGGCTAGAGGAGAATCGATGCTCCCGCACAGCAAGCCAATTGGGAAAAGTCAAAAATCCACCATAGAAAAGTTTCCCGAAAGGCTGCAAAGATAACAGGAGAGGGCAGCCTGGATAAATCACACCCTACAAGCATTGTGTTCCCCACTGTTGTGGGGAAAATCTCTTCCAATCCACCCCCTTTTCCCTAATCTCTGCCAGAAACACCCCCGTCCCCTCCCCCCACATCCATGGCAGGGGCTGATTATGACAACGTGAAAAGTCCTGGATGTGTTCAAAAGTGCCTCCCCCTTCTCCCTTTTTTTTCCTTGCTTGCTTTTCTTGTGTGTGAGAAAGAAAGTGGTGGGGGGAAGGTGGAGGGGGAGGCTTTGGATAAGCGATGACTGTGGCAGGGAAAGCAGGGATCAAAAGCAGCGGCATGGTGGCCAGGCTTGCCAGGCTTTCCACAGTGGATGACGGCAGGCTACAGGTAGGCAAGCAAGGGTGGGCATGGGGTGCTCCTTACAGCCACTAAAGAAGCAGCCCGGTGGAGAGGCAAGGTTGCACATGGCAGGGGGATTAAGGTACCCCTTGTAAAGACGGCCTAGCTGTTTTTTCAGGGGTCTAAAAAAATAAGGGCCAGCCTTATTTTCTGAGAAACACAGTATTTTGCATCCCTTATCATTGAAACCAAGAGGACAACCAGTTTATCTTATTATAGGCAGGCCATTTGTTCCTTTATATAAAAAAGACATCATTTATACTTTTTATTTTATAAGAAAATTAAAACAATCTTATGTATACATCTAAAGTATATATGTATGTGCGTATGTATACACACACACACAAACCAGAAAAGGCTAAAAACAGGACACAGTTTACACTCACCTGTATCCTTATCCTTGGCTTTGTACACTTGCCCATATGTTCCCTCACCAATAATACCAATAATATCAAATTTGTCCACACAGCGCTTTCCCCATTCACTTTCTGTCTGTCTCCTCTCACCATAACGAGGGCAACAGATTCTGGAAGAGATTTTTTTTTTGGGGGGGGGGGGGAGAGAGATACACAAGAACTGTTAAAATGCAAAATTCTTACTTAAAAACTCTTTCATAAACCTTCCTAGTCTCCTAGTCTGATCTGCATGTGTGGATGTATATCAATTGCATATAAGAAATGCTGTGTTACCTAACATATTTGTTATAAATATGTTCCACTCTTTTTCTTAAAAGCTCCAAGTAGTTTATACATAGTTTTCAGGATAGCAAATTACAATGCGAAATGGTATGAAACTGTATATTCCAGGTTCAGACTAGAAACATGGCTTGTTTATCAGGTTTACCAGATTTATACATGATTTATTTATAAGATTTGTTGGCCACCCATCTTAACCACAGGGTAATTCTGTGGTATTAAATATTAACCATAGTTTAGAAACCACAAAATGGCTATATCCACATGTGCTAAACCAAAATGAAAAACAGAATACCACTGTTTAGCATAATATCAGAATAATGCCACTTTCAAGTTGTCACCAATTTCAGATTTCTTCTCCAAGTGTTGTAAGAAATTTGAAGACTCTTTGACTTACATGATTTGTTCATGTCTAGTCATGGTTCCCTTTGGTTTGAAGTTACATTATATGTAACACAGTCTTAAGAAAATATATGTTAAACATATAAATATGATGAGTTGTACTCCTGAAGTATAGAATTTGACACTTTATGAAGAACTCTGGCTTAATTAAGTATAGGGCTCAACAAAGACATTTCATGTAGCTAGAAATTTGTATTCTTGATGTTAAAGAATATATTCAAATATGGGGCCTTTATCAATTTTTGAAATGTGTTTATATTCTAAAAATGAGAAAATATATAAATTTATGGAATTAATTTTATACTACTATATGGATCTTGTTTTTTGTTTTCCTACATTTTTTTCTTTTTTCTCTCTAGTTTAGTTTAATTACTGCAATATATGTATTTCTTCACTGATACATTTTTGGTTGGTTGGTTTTTAACTTTTCAAAATGTTTATTAATGAAATATAACAATCATTATTTCATAAGCTAGCATCTCTGAATCTAATCACAGACAATAATGAGGACTATCTGGGCCTGGATGAGGTGTATAAGCAATGATAATGTCCACTTATTAAAGCAGGTGAAGATTTCTAATAACTGAAACACTTTTAAAAGGTGACTGAAGTTTTTAGGTAAAGATTTAAAAACCTGTAAAATGATGCAAAACATCATAATAATACAAATACTGAAGAGACTTTTGAAGAATGGAATCAGAAAATAGTAGTCACAATATCAACAATCAACAATGTCAGTAATGAGGTCTGCTTCTCTGGATAGACTATCTAAAAGTTATTATTGAAGAAATGAGAGATGTAGAACAAATTTTATCTGACAAAATAGAAATGTGATCAAAAATGGATTTACAACTGACAGGTCAAGGGAATGGCCTAGAAAAAGATGTTTCACTGGAACTACAAAAGAAACTCGCTGGGGTTTTAAAATTTAAAAGGGAAATACAAGTGACAAACCAAGAGAGTGACCTGGATAACTTTTTTGTACTGAATTTATAAAAGTGACTCGTTAGAGCCTTTATAAAAATCTGTGTGATGGGACAAAAAAAGAAATGAAGATAAATAAAATCCTATGATATTTTAATGAACTAAATATTAAGACTGTTAGAAGTAAAAGGAAGGAATATAACAGTGGTTTATTTGATCAAGGTTAAAACAAGATATCTTACTTCTGGCAACCCTTTATGGACTTTCTGCTGCCACCAGGTTTGAAAAGATGTTATATGGATTTGTTTATAGATAAGAAATGCTATATGGCAGGGGTTGCCAACCTTTTGGACCTCATGGACCACCAAACTCATAATTTTAGATCCCAAGGACCACTAACCAGTTTTGTGGGCATGGCCTAATTTGTGGGTGTAGCTTGGTGGTCATGTGACTAGCTGGGCATGGCTTGTATGTAAATATTATAAATATTTATATAAATATTGATTTTTTTATTAAAAAAAGAGTAACTTTTACCCAAAATCAGGCAAAGCAGGCAGATTGAGTTACTCACAGAATCATTCAGTGATCTATCTATCTGCCATCGGCTAGCTTAGTCTCTCAAATTTGCTTGCCATGAGTCTGCACTGAATTTGCTTGCAAGCAAACCTTCAGTCCTAAGGGAGGTTTGGTTGTGCTTAAAAGCAGAGCCAAAGATCTAAAGACTAGCTAGAAAGCAAGAAATCCAACCATTTTCTGCTTCCTAGCTAATCTAAATCTCCCAGCACAGCAGAACAGATGATGGTTGGAAAAAGGAAAAATAGAAATTTAGCAGGCAAGTTTGCTGGGTAAGGAGTGAGTGGGCAGGAAGGGTTCCCACGGGCCATGTGGGTGGCGCAGCCTTGTGTTTCTGCGCAGCCTGGATTAATTGCTTTGGAGGGGTGCTCTGGGGGTGAGATTTCTCTGTGGCCCACCAAAATTTTCTCACCGCCCACCAGTGGGCCGCGGCCCACCGGTTGGCGACCACTGGTATATGGGATAAAAACATACATATTTGTAACCTTACAGTGGGTGAAGAGTCACTAAATTTGTTTACACTTACTTTTTTGGGCACCTGGACCACATCTGACTTGTGGGCATTACCACCAAAGGGTTAGGGGTGACTTGCCTCATTGCAAGGTGGTTAACAGTGCATAGAGGAAGTCCCCTCCCTTGAATGTTGGTATATTTTCCTAGACTGGATTCTCACAATACACTAAACGTTGAACTCAGGTAAATGAAATCCAACTGCAATGTTCACATATAGAGCCCATATTATTTCTTGATGATAATGACAGGGTTCCTGAAATACACTAAAATACGAAGTACTCAACTCTATTCTACCTCAGCAAAAGTAATGTTCTGAGTATTTTAGTATTGTTTTGAACTCAAAACAGAGTTTCAAGTTCAAAATACTTCCAAAATGCTAAAAAATCAGCCAGTTTTTCATTTTCATTTTTTTTCCTAGGGAGATAGGCATACTTAAAAACAAAGCTCTATAGCCAGGGGTGGGATTCAAATTTTTTAACAACCGGTTCTGTGGGCGAGGCTTAGGTGGTAGGCGTGGCTTGGTGGTCATGTGACTGGGTGGACATGCCTTGGTGGTCATGTTATTGGCTGGGTGTGGCCAACTCAATATCACTCACATCAAGGCACGCATCTCCTCACCTGGCCTCTCATGACTGTGGGGATGCTGCAACAGTCGTAAGTGTGAAAAATGGTCATAAGTCACTTTTTTCAGTGCCATTGTAACTTTAAATGGTCACTCCACACAAGCAAAGTACCAGCAAAGGAGGAAAAAAAAACTCCAGAGAAGTTCCAGAGACAGGAAGTCTAGTCCTGCCAAGAATGTAATAAGGGTTAATGGAGAGGCAGTTTCTGTAAGCAACACCAGAATGTTTCCTTCCTGCCTTCCTTACAGGATTAGGCCAGTAATTTCTTCTAACAAACGGTTCTCCAAACTGCTTAGAATGTTAACAACTGGTTCTAGCGAATAGGTGCGAACTGGTAGAATCCCACCCCTGTCTATAGCTAAAACCATCTGCCATTTTATTTTCAATTATTTCTGAGGTGTGAGGCCTGAACACATTAAAGAAATACAGATGGTACTTGAAAGTGATTCTTTGCAACATGCTTGATTCTTATTTTATTTCATAGAATATAAACTAAATTAAAACTAGATAGGCATAGAGTCCAACAGATTCCAAGGGAGATGGTGTTGGACACACTGGCACCCATGGGTACCAAGCTGAGGATCAAATTTTACCCTCCATGCACTAGGAACAGAATCTGCATTGTGAGCTTCTCTCATTTTCCATTTCAAAATGGGTTGTACTTCAATTGGAAATACAAGTGTTATTTACCAGTATTAATCACATTTAGAGTAATTAGAGTAATGAGAATAAACCGATACAATAGCCACTCTTATAATAGATGTCACTGCATAAGATGAAAGGTGATCTGGATAGCTATGCTGACCATCCAATTTATTCTTCTAACCCAATTGTTACTATCATTTATTTTTTGTTTATTTATACTTCATGTTTCTAGACTACCGATCTCCCTCAAGTAAATTACTCAGAAACAGATCCAATAAAGTATATTCAGTTCTTACTTTGGTCTCTTTCTCAATGACTGCTGAAGTGGTGTGACTGCCTTTGGTTCTGGAGACTCTGGCGGTGAAGGGTCTCCACCAGGAAGCTCTGGGGGGAGTGGGAGGTCTGTAAGCAAGTGTCTTGGTCTCTTCTGTTCTTTCTCTTCCTTTACATACTTCAGAGGAACAATCTCCTTTGGACTAAAGCACCAGAGTAGAGTGTTATGAGATATTTAGAGGCTGACCACAGTTCCACAACTCCAAGTTTTCACAAACATGGATAATAATAGTATTGTAGGAGCAATACAGCAGCTTCCACAATTACCGTTTTACTACTGGAAATCAATCCAACCAGAGGCTGTACCCATGTTAGCACTGAAGTCCAGTACCCGATACATTGCTGTAATCTCAAAATTTTGGGCTTCAGAAAATATATCACTTTTAAAGTGTTGGAAGGAAAAAAATAAATTTAAAGAATACAGTCATTAATTGAACTAACTTAATTTAAATCATATTAATTTTCTCTTGGCCCCACAAGTTTACAAGTACATTCTTCCTCCACACCCACACTACTCAAACATCAAGTGCAGTCATTGCTTGAAAGAGACTGTGAACTCCACACCAGGATTGACTACCCTTTTCTCCTTAAACCAGCTGTCTGTCCCTTATTACTAATATGATTACCTAACTTTATTAATGCTGAAGTGAGTATTGAAAGTATTTCCATGACTTGCTATGGCAGATCACCCTTAGATTACTACCAATATCTAGAAAAGTGTCTACAGGTAAACAACTATACTAACTACAGTTTTTTAAACAAACACTTTAAAAATAACATTCTTTCCATAGATTAGTATTTGTCATCCATTCTTTTACAATTCGTGGATACTACAATCTACTGCCTTCCCAATTAACAGATACGGAGATAGGACTGTAGGCTGATTGACATGTGGAAGGTTAGCAATGCAGTATCAAGTGATAATGTCCAACTGTACCATTAAAGATGTAACATAATTCTCATCACTTCACTTTACACACTTTCACTGGCCCCTGCCAAACATGGGATGGTGCAAACAAACTTGAGAATTAGTTATGTTTGCTAGATGTAGAATCAGGAAAATCCCTTTTCCTGGAAATCAAACTGGGGAGAAGTCTTAAAAAAAACTAATGGTTCCTTAAGAATTAAACCTGGCTTGTTTATTGGAAAAACGTTATTTGCTCTGCAGACTTCTACTGTACAATTTTCAATATTGTGTTCTATGGGCTGGTAGATGAGTGTTGCCTTCTTTTAGACAGAGGTATAAGTTGTCTGGGTCAACAATTACAAAAACAGTAGGGATACTTAAACCTAAATACTAGAAATTTGACTTGTTGCCTTTGTAAAGTGTCTTTCTTTCAGAGGACTTTTGAAGCAAAAAATAACACTATTTTAAGCAATATTTCTACTATCATAATGATAATTGTAAAAGGCGGCTTTACTCAGAACAGCTTACATCCTGTGATAATATCTATAACACCATCAAACATCCACATCTGCCTTTCCCAGGTCCTTGGGAAGGATGCGATAGGTAGACAAAAATGACAAATCCAGTCTGAACATCTGACTGACTGTGTGATGTACCAAGAGTAATAATTACCCTCAGTGAGGCACTACCTTGACATGGTTGTGATGCTTGTGTGCTTTTAGGAAGATGAAAGCTATGCCAGAGGTTCAACCATACTGGACACGTCTCATCAGGAGTCAGACAAAGAATGTCTCTCCCATAAAAAAGGAGTGGGGCGTGAGGTGCATCGCTGGGCCTGCCGCTCTTTTTGTGGCTGCCACTACGTTAAGAGAAGGATTGCGGTGGCCAGGGTTGCGGGAGAGCCTGCTGTGAGGCACGTGCGACCATTAGGTAAGGGTGCATGGGGCACGTTCCTCCCCCCTTTCCCCCCCCAAGCCAAGAAAAGCTTGCCCCCCCACCCCAACCCCAGGTGCCCTCACTTCCTCCAAGCCTTTCTTTGCCTACTGGTACTTAATTTCCAGCTCCATCGCGTTTCTCGCTGTTGTGTGCAGGGAAACAAGTTTGTGGAACTACCATTAAAAAACCTTGCCAGTTCAATCAATTAATTCCAATTACTTGTGAGTTTTTTTTTACAGTAGTCCCACAAAATTTGTTTCCCTGCACACAATGGTGAGAAATGCGATGGAGCTGGAAATCAGGTAAGACGGCAAGAGGAGGGATGCAATGTAAGATCTATTTTAGATATGCTGTAGTACTACGAAGTGCACTCTAAAAAACAAATGGTGCTGTTTTTTTAGTTTCTTCTTCTTTTTCTATTAAGTTCAACTAATGCTTTATTATTTCCATTTGATTTTTTAAACTTTCCTTTTGTGGCTCTTTTTGTAGTTCTAGTTAAGAGTTTTTTGTTTTTCTAATGTCTTTTGATATATATATATATATATATATATCTTATTTTTTCTCGCTATGTAAGTTATAGCTAGTCTCCAAATATATGATTTAGCTGTGTCCCATAGATTTTGCAATGAAGTGTCTTTTTCCATTTTCCTTGAAGAATTCAATTTCTTTTACTGTTGTTTGTATAAATTATTTTTCTTTTAATATAGATTGATTCAATATCCATCTCAGCTTTTTCTTTTCTCCTTTCCAGCTTACTTTTATCGGGTTATGGTCAGCCCAAATATTGTTTTCTATCTCAATTTCTTGCAAAATGGTTCTTAATTCAGGTGACATCCATATCATATCAATTCTAGACCATGATTTGTGCCTATTTGAATAAAATGTGTATTGGTTTTTCCCTGGATTTGTTTCTCTCCATAAATCCTCTATACAGGTTTCTTCTGCCATTTTGCAAAAGGCCCTGGGAAGTATTTTCCTTGTTTTCCCTGATTTGCTACTTCTGTAGTTAAGTTTTGCGCCTACAATTGCACTGAAATCTCCTATCATATACAGGTGAAACAAAAAATTAGAATATCGTGCAAAAGTTCATTTATTTCAGTAATGCAACTTAAAAGGTGAAACTAATATATGAGATAGACTCAAGATAGTTCAAGCCGTGATGTGTCATAACTGAGATGATTATGGCTTACAGCTCATGAAAACCCCAAATCCACAATCTCAGAAAATTAGAATATTGTGAAAAGGTTCAATATTTTAGGCTCAAAGTGTCCCACTCTAATCAGCCAATTAAGCCATAACACCTGCAAAGGGTTCCTGAGCCTTTAAATAGTCTCTCAGTCTGGTTCAGTAGGAATCACAATCATGGGAAAGACTGCTGACCTGACAGTTGTGCAGAAAACCATCACTGACACCCTCCATAAGGAGCAAAAACCTCAAAAGGTAATTGCAAAAGAAGTTGGATGTTCCCAAAATGCTGTATCAAAGCACGTTAATAGAAAGTTATGTGGAAGGGAAAAGTATGGAAGAAAAAGGTGCACAAGCAGCAGGGATGACCGTAGCCTGGAGAGGATTGTCAGGAAAAGGCCATTCAAAAGTGTTGGGGACTTTCACAAGGAGTAGACTGAGGCTGGAGTCAGTGCATCAAGAGCCATCACACACAGACGGATCCTGGAAATGGGCTTCAAATGTAGTATTCCTCTTGTCAAGCTGCTCCTGAAGCGTCTTACCTGGGCTAAAGAAAAATAGAACTGGTCTGTTGCTCAGTGGTTCAAGGTCCTCTTTTCTGATGAAAGCAACTTTTGCATCTCATTTGGAAACCAAGGACCCAGAGTCTGGAGGAAGAATGGAGAGGCACACACTGCAAGATGCTTGAAGATCCAGTGTGAAGTTTCCACAGTCTGTGTTGATTTGGGGAGCCAAGTCATCTGCTGGTGTTGGTCCACTGTGCTTCATTAAGTCCAGGGTCAATGCAGCCGTCTACCAGGAGATTTTGGAGCACTTCATGCTTCCTTCCGCAGACAAGCTTTATGGGGATGCTGACTTCATTTTCCAAGCAGGACTTGGCACGTGCCCACATTGTCAAAAGCACCAAAACCTGGTTCAATGACCGTGCGATTACTGTGCTTGATTGGCCAGCAACCTCGCCTGACCTTAACCGCGTAGAGCAGGGGTGTCCAACCTTTCACCTTCCCTGGGCCACATTAGAAGATGAAAATTTGGTTTGGCCCGCACATAAAATAAAATAACAGTAACGATACCTGATCGGCGGTGGCGGGGGCAGAAGCGGCAGGGGCAGAAGCAGCAGCAGCGGTGGGGGCAGAAGCAGCAGCGACAGCGGGGGCAGAAGTGGCAGCAGGGGCAGAAGCGGCGGCAGCGGCGGGAGCAGAAGCGGCAGCGATGGTGGGGGCAGAAGTGGCAGCGGGGGCAGAAGCGGCAGCGGGGGCAGAAGCGGCAGCGGGGGCAGAAGTAGCAGCGGTGGCGGCGGCGGCAACAGCAGGTGGCGCTCTGACAGCGCCCGCCTTTTCTGTTGCTGCTTGGCCTGGCGCTCGCCTCACCCCGCCTCATGCCTGCCTCTCCTCCTCCTCCTCGCTGGCTCTGGCACGAAGGTTGGGAGGGCACTGGGCCGCATTACAAGGCGACCTGGGCCGCATGCGGCCCACGGGCTGGACAAGCCTGGCAGAGACAATCTTTTGGGCATTGCCAAGAGAAAGATGAGAGACATGAGACCGAACAATGCAGAAGAGCTGAAGGCCGCTATTGAAGCATCCTGGTCTTACATAACCCCTCAGCAGTGCCACAGGCTGATAGCTTCCATGCCACGCCGCATTGAGGCAGTAATTGCTGCAAAAGGGGCCCAAACCAAGTACTGAGTACATATGCATGCTTATACTCTTCAGAGGTCCAATACTGTTCTATGTACAATCCTTGTTTTATTGATTGCATGTAATATTCTAATTTTCTGAGATTGTGGATTTGGGGTTTTCATGAGCTGTAAGCCATAATAATCACAATTATGACAATTCACGGCTTGAATTATCTTGCTTTGCTCATAATGAGTCTATCTTATGTATTAGTTTCACCTTTTAAGTTGCATTACTGAAATAAATGAACTTTTGCACGGTATTCTAATTTTTTGAGTTTCACCTGTAGATATTTTCATATTCCATTTCTATTATCTTCTTGTGTAGTTTTTTATAAAATTATTCTTGTTGTTTGGTGCATATATTGCTATCAAAAGTATCTGTTTCTGGTTTATCGCAGGGGTGGGATTCTACCGGTTCTATAGAACCGGTTATGATT